ATGACGTGTGATAGCTAGATTAAAATCTACAGATGTGCAATTATTATGAGTAGTATATTTGTTTCAAAGTCAGTATATATATTTGCATTTACTAGTGTTATTGTCTATGGATGTATTAGTTATAGTTGCATACTAATTGAGAGATCGTCCTCTTTGATTTTCTGCATGTGGAAATTATTCTGCGTTAACATGTATCTTTACTTTGTTCCTCTCATATGATCCTCATTTACCGTTGTATTATAATAAGAAGAGTCTGTGGACCCGTATGTATTTAGGGAATGCCACGCTCCCTCGTAAGTAAAAAAATCAACGTTCGTATATTTCACGTTTCAGAGTCCTACATGTTTGTAGAATTTTACTCAGAACTCAGAAAGTTGATACCAGCGCGGGTTATGCTTAAACCTCTTATTCTAGATGTCAGGTAACCTACTTGTGTTTATGTTGGATTGCTGTATGATTGACGCATACCCGCCATTTCATAGGTTTTTTTTTTTATTTTTTTGTTAAGGGATGCATCCAGTTGCAACTTTTCATTTAAAATATATTTCCGTGACGTAACCTCAAAAGATTAGTTGCTTCAATAAATTATTTTTTAGGGAAAACGAAACCTCTTCTCGCATGTCGCACTTTGGGTAATTGTTAACCTTGTTCTCTTCGACAAAATACGGCCTTGAATTTCAATTTTGATATAAATATAAAAAAAGCCACAATTTGGTTCCTAAATAGATATTTTTCAAAACCCCTAAAGCTAGGTAAAACCTATCTCTTTATAAAGGCTCTAAATTCAGCACGTTTTAGAGTTTTTTTGAAAATCCGATGGTTTTTGCTTTGTTCGAAACTAAAACATGAACAAATATAACTAAATAAACTAAAAATATGATAAACAAATGTATTCTTGATGTCAGATCAAAATACATTTAACAAGCCAGTGCATTGATACAAATTATATTCTACTGAATTTACTATATCGATAATTTTACATTCGTTACTATTACGCAATATATATATATATATAAGTCATGTGTCCAGGTGAGAAATAACAACGGGTGGTATGTATACTAAAATGTTTATCGTCTTCCATTATACACGAGGGTGTGGATGGGGGTTTACAGAAGAGAAAATAACCAAAAAAAATATAGAAAAGAAAATGATGAGGAACTAGAATATAAGGAATACAGAATGATGGGCAAAAAGTATAACGAATAGAACAAATGGCCTAACAATGATAGAATACAGAAATAATGAATCCTCATCCATAATCTGACGATGACATTTAGCTTTTCATGGGCATACGATACAGTTTTAAACGCACAGTGATTTTTTTTACGAAAGTTTGCATACAAAATCAATTTACATATACAAAATCAATTTGAATATGTAATAAATAATATATCTTTATGTGCTAAATTTAAAAGATAAATGGGTTTGAATTTTTCGACATGTACTTAAAATTTCGGTTTCTTGGACATTTCTGTCCTTTGAACAGACATCCTTAACTTTTTTTATTTCAATCGATAAACATATGCGGATTTCGGTAAAGAGATTGGGAATATCCTCGTTACAAAATTAGGCTCTCCATTTGTGTAACAATTCTTTGTTAATAATTAATTTTTGTTAAAAGAAATTGATTTTAGAAAAAAAAAACGGCATTTTTGTTGTAGATTTATCAAGTTTAAAAAAATCGGTGATTTCTTCATAAAAGTTGGAACGAATAATCTTCATACAGTATCAAGCCAAATTCAATTTTAAAAAAGAGGGGTCCATTTTCTCGTTTTTAGGCAAATAGTTAAATCACTCGAAAAAAAATGCATCTTTTCCCGATATATGTTTGACGTCGCGAAAAATAACATTTTACGTTAGCAATTAATGTGTCTATAAAAAGAACGAGTTCTACAATATATAAAATTCTGTCAAAAAATCATTTTATAGGTAAACATTATAAAAGTCATCCGAAAAAGTGAAGAGAATAATAACATACTTATTCGATTTCATGCAATTAGGTTTTAATGCTAAAAGTTTTATATAAGAGAGAGAGAGAGAACATCACTGTCAAAAAAGGAAAAATTATAATAGGGAAAGAAAATCGTCCCTTTTGTCGTTAATTTTTGTTTACAGTTTCCTGTGTAAAACAAAAATATATAAATCTAGGAAAGGAGAGTTATTGCTGTTTATATTAGATTTATATAATATAAGTTTTTTGTGTAAATGTCGGCAGTATATTTAGAGAATTATTAAATTAAATTTAATTCCATTAAAGGTTTAATTGATTATTTTTCAGCAAGTCATGTAAAGGAAAATGTATGCATACAGAATACAATATATGGTTATTCCATTACTGCAAGTTCCTGAACACAAAACAAGTTAGATTAGTCGTTGATTGCATCTTGCCGGGAAACAAACAAGATTTTTTCTCATAAAAATCCATCAAACGACACGAGATCATCATTACTTCTCTCGGTTATTTTAACATAAAAAGAATAAAGTGTCTACTTTTTTATGCCTTTTCAACCTTTTTGTTTCGAACTTCACTGATGAGTCTTTTGTAGACAAAACGCTCGTATGGCGTTCAAAATCCATGATGAGTTTATTATTTAGATAATAAAAAAAGTGAAACACGATCGAATAGTCTAGACTTGTATCTACAAATAGTTGTTCTCCTCTGCGTCATTTGGTCTCTGTTGGATAGTTGTCACTATGACAATCATACCTCATCTCCTTATTTTTCTACTGACTCAGATGACACCTCAAATGCACGTGTTAGCTATATAAAAACAAAATGGGTATGATAACCGCAAAAAATAGGCTCCTGATTGTTATTAGTAAAATATTTCAAATATTTACAAATTTATGAATATTACTGACCATTTTTCTTAAAGCCTGAATGCATAGAAAAAAAGAACCTCACAGAAGGGTATATCAAGCTAAACATATCAAATTCATCCTATAAAATCCGCCTCATGAACGAATACCCTATTCTTATAATTCGATTATAAGAACTTAAAAAGGGATAAACCGATTTACAAAATGAATGTTTGAACTGTTTCGCTATATAACAGATGTATTTTTCCTTTGAATTGGATTATCTTTTTGTCTATTTTAAAATTGTTTCCAGATAAGATCTCAGCAATGCTTTTCGTTTATCTATATCTGTTAAAATTTTATAATTATTAGTTTCATAAATATGTTCTATTGTGAAAAAAGAAATCGCAATCTTCTTGTATCAAGTATATTTTAAGTCATTTTGCTGATGTCAAGGTTAAATAGAAAACCATATATGAAAAAAACACATTGCCTTAATCTAAGATAAAAACGGAGAAAAGACAAACAACAGTATACACCTTTCTACACAGATAAAAAAAGAATAAGCAAATCCACACCAATCAATAACTGAGGGCGAACCCAGATGCTCCAGAAATGTAGGTAGTTCCTGTTCTTCATGCGACACCTTTCGTCTTTTTCATTTTAAAGTTTACAATTATAATTCATGCAAACAAATAAACATGAAAGTATGGTATGAAAAGTTGTTTTTTTTCGTACCCCTCGCCTTTTTCAGGACCAGTCAATGGAAGACATGTCAACGGTCTAACAGTTTTACCTCAAATTTGAAATAGAATATTAAACAACTGGCTTTTGTAAATACAAATAAATCATGTCCGAAAATAAAGACTCAAGGAACAAGTATGAAATATACTGAAATTATATGAGGCATTTGTAGCCTGTGAAGGGGTGAAAGTCGTATAAATGGGTTTACTTTTATTTAATAGATTAACAAATATCGGGAAATATATGTTAAATTATGAAACTATCCAAGAAAAATAACCTGAATTAATTACCGCACGTACGCATAGGAGAAAATTAAGTATTAAAGTTTTTGGATTATGTAAAAATCTAGGACGCAATTAGTACAAAGAAAATACAAATATTTTACAAATGTATGTACAATAATAATAATCGGATTTCATGTTAGTTATATGATAATTAACAGTGTTATAACTTTAATGAATAATGGCCGAATCGAATGCATTGTAAAGTACAAAAATGACAAAATTATCAACACATAGATATCTGAAATAAGACAATACATTTATACTACTTAACATTTGAAGGCAAGCAGCTCGAGTTTAATGAAAAAGTATAAACACGCCAATAAAGTAAATATTCACAATAGTTATCTTAAACAAACTGTCAACCTTTGAAAATGTTGGCCTCAATCATGTGAGGTATACACAAATGAAATATATATTTTTAAATTTGTTCTGAAAAACATATGTAAGATTTGCTTTCAAAGCTTGTTGATATCTGTTTAATTTAGAGCAGGTAATGAGACCCCCTTACTCGTAACACTATACATATAGTGAAGGAAGTAAATTAGAAATTTCTCGTCTTATATTTGATCGCATTTATTTCCCTTCATGCATATCCACAGGTATCGTTCTACACTTGTGTAAAGTTTCATATATAACCACCAAGCCGTTTAGGAGGAGTAGGTCCTAACAAGCACATTTATAAACAAACATACAGATATACAGACAGATGGATGTACGAACAACATGCTTCTTTTATACCTTTAAAACATATAGTTACTTAAAAAAATGTTAAATAAGTAATGTGTTCGAATCGATCACTGTTAAAGACTTAAAAAGAGACTCCTCACTTGTCTCACAAAACGATCGACAGTCAAATCATATTATGTCAGTAATTCCTATGAAAATCACGGCTGTACAAAATATCTAAAAAGTATAATTTCCACAAAATATTATATCTGTTCTATACTTAAATGAGCAGTATATGTAGATATTACGTGTATGTCGTCTTTCGTCTGGAAAGTTACTTACCTTGTAAATAAATCATCAAAGAAGTTATTGTTATAAAAAGGCGTTCAAATATCATATCATTCTTTTCTGGGTGTAATTAAATGTTAACATCAAGTGATAAGAACGCAACATCCTTTATAAAGAAGAAATATCGTTTTCATATTGTGAAAGGTTTCAAAACACGAGTTTACATTATTTGTATTTCACATATAAATGCGCCTTTCATTGATTTCCAACAGTCATGCCATTGATATTGGTCTGACTTACTCATGCACAAAAATTCTGATGTATCTGAGGTTGTTGAATCTGGTTGTGATGAATACCAGTTGAAATATGATATAACAGAACCATCATCATATCGCCATGTTGGCTCTGACAGGAGATGGGTTCCCTGGAAGTATATCCAATGGGAAATATCAAACTGGTCTGAAAAAGAATTGCACACGTATGATAATAAATTTAACATTATATTAATAACTTTACGGATAAACATATTATAAACACCTGTCTTTTGTTGCAAACCCTATGTAGCTCTATACATGTTTTTGGGTATTAAAGTCATTTGGTTGCTGTCCCATTAAAGTGTACACCATATTGATTGCAGTAGGAATGCTCATTGCAAATATAATTAGGGTGATAATAATTATTCGATACCTGTGTTTTGACAATTGGAACGTAACCGTGGTTAATTATAACACAGGATTAAACACCGTTCTACAAAATCGTAATCACTTCTCTAAATTATTTTAGCGTTTCGAGAAGTTTGTAATTTCAAGACTATATAAACCCCGCGGAAGGTAAAGACATACCACAGGAAGTAACCATGTAGGCGTTAGAACCTTATTGTTAATTCATATTGTACAAGAATAAAAGTTGCCAATTGATTGATTTTAATTAATGAAAAGATTTGTGCAACATCTGGTTAGTAGACCAATCCTCAATTATAACCTGAAAGCAGTGACTCAAATATATTTTCTCTTGTACCATGTATGTGATTTGACCAAGTTATTATACCTGAATTTATGAAAATCAGACTGTGCCTTATCGACTTATGCAGCATCGTTACTCAGACAAAACACTACTAACAGGATCTGCTAACCCTTACGGAGTACTTGATATCACCCCTATTTTTTTTATTTGGTTCGTATTGATCAGTCTTCAGTTTTCCATGAATAGTGGCGCCTTCTCGTTTAGGTGTAGTAATTTTTGCCAAGGCAATTTTTCCTCGATCTAGGAGTTTTTTTTATGACTACCTTAAGTTTGAATTTTCCACCTCTTTTTAGACAAAGCAGAGGAAAATGGAAAGCATTATCATACTCGGTGGTCGGGGAACAGGGTTGTATATACGTAAGATCCTTTTTGGTCTTATCAGCACTTCAACATTTGTATTTGGTTTTTAATTATAGAATATTTTGGCCCCGGGCATCACTGAAGAAACATTAGTCAAATAAGCAATTGGTACAGTTACATCGGTACCGTTAACGTTATGATGTGTAATAAACAGAACAACTGATGTCTGTCTGAAGTGCGCTGTCATATTTGTCTGATTTCTATTGTTTACAACCCAATATATTTTCCTTATTAAAAATAGTGTTGGTGTCTGCATTATAAACATATAACCTAAAATGGTAAAACAAATTTTAAAAAGACGAAATAGGCGATGCAATATGGTGAATGCAAATGAAATATACATGATTATTTGAATCAATTATAACATATATTAACCTTTGCCAAAACTGCATATGCGATATTTAAGAAAACATACAAACCTAGAAATGTGACAATGTGTTGTTGTTTTTCATCTGAATAAATTTTCATGAGTTCTCCACCTTCTGATTCACATATTTGGCTGTAATTATCGTACCTCAAGGTATTGTCATATAAATGGACTTTATAGCAACTGTTGAATGCTTTATTAAAAACGTAACCAGTAATATGCGGGCATCTTTCTACGAAATTAAGAAAATGTCAGTCATAAGAGATAAGCAGGTATGTAAAATGGCGTTCAGTATTGATAAAATAAAGTAAAATACCAAACAAATTTTGATAAAAATCCTCGTTAAGTATGTGGTATGTAGGCCTAGATCAATATCTTTCTTAAGTTTTATGTGTATATACTGTAGTTTTGTGCTTGTACAAAATATAATCTCGATATAAGATAAAAAGTAAAACTTTGGGAGTTGTTCCTTTTCTAAAGAAGTGCACTGTGAAAAAGTAGGAATTTTCAAACAGAATTGTAAATAATGCATGTGATGTTCGGTTTTCAATTCGAAAACAAGTTATGGATTGTTGATTCATTATCAATTATATTGCTAAGTATTTTGAGCTTATTGTTTAATCCAAATGTTTTGAAAAGCATTTTATTAAGAATAATATATTATTCAAGAAAGTTTAAAATTGTTGTAAGCGTGTTGCTTCAACCGCTGTGTTGTAATGCTTATAACATATAATAGATGAAGGTAAAACGTATAGAAAATACCTCTATTGAGACGAGATATTGCGATTACTCCCATCATAAAGATGATCAATTTCTATTTGGAAAAAAAATGTTAAATCACAAAAACTCCGAGAATTAATAAAATGCATCTCTAGTGAAACAAATGATTTTATTTTATCTAATCTCATTTAATCAATGACGGGAAAATGCATGAAATGTTATACAATTTTTGTTAACAATTTAAATTAAGGGATGATAAAAATTAGGAAAATTTCGATATTCATATCAACAGATCAGCGCATTATTTACTCTTGAAGGTATAAGACCACTAATTCATAGCCCCATTGCTTTCTATGTTAAATTCTGCAATTTCTAGCATTGATAACAACATTGTCTTAAGTTCAAATAAAGTGGCAGTCATTTCATGTCATTTCTTGTCAAAACTATACCGTTTCCTGACTTGTGCTGAAAAATTCAACATACCTTTAATTGCATATATAAACGTACTGGTTCCCGGAAGTTTGATAGTAGAAAAACAGGTACTTCTGATCTGAACAACAGGGCAAATGGCCCTCATATTATAATTCTATATACTTTTTTATTATTCAAAGGAAACTTTTAACAAGGGTTCTACAGTGATACCAAATCCCCAAGCTTTCATTTGATACCAAAACTACCCAAATTTCACCAATTGACAAAGATCCATCTATGCGTAGCAACTATTTTGTTTAAAATATGTACTACTTTCTTGTATGTTCTTTCCGATCGAGCCCGATTTAGTGGTTCTATACCTGAAGACATATCCGAGTCTTTATCCTACATATATATATGTGTTTTTTTTCCTTTTCAACAATGTGTGTATGTTTGAATATATTCATATCTATTTTAATAGTCTACAATATCACCGACATTCGTCCCATATGTTTTTTAATCTTCTGTTTATACCAATTTAAAATTCAATTCGATAATACCATTTTTTTTTTTTTTTTTGCGATATTCTAAACCAGATGGATCTCTCATTTTCAAGGTAAGAAATGATTTAACTGCCGATTTAAGTAGGTGCAAATAGTATCGGATCTTGAAAGTGCATACTCTTATTTCCATTAAAACTATATAGATACATACAAAAATTATCATGATAATAGCATTTATTTGCATATCTGCCCATCAACACATATGCAACAGTATGTTCAAAACCAATTCCTGCAAATTGGTAATAATTTCGGCGTGAAAAGGTTAGTCGGATATTCCTTTTATATTAAGTCTTATTTTATGTCTACCGCTTTGTCATTTAAAGACATACACTAACATAGTTTGTCATTTCGCTTGAGATTTAACTATTTAAACATATAAGGGTTAAATGTTGATTGATCTTTTGCTCATATATATATATATATATATATAAATTTTACACAGATAATTTTTTTAAAGTGAAATATATGTGTAATAAGTCATTCCATCTTTTCCGCAAGTTTATTGTTTTCTGTTTGATATTAGATTAATATTTAAGATCCATTTTAGTTACATCTGGTGATCTTTTTATTTGGCAATCGCCAATGGCAGTCAGCAGGGTTTAAGAACATCCGTTGTTCGACCTGCTAGTCAAATGTGTTTTGATAAAATATACTTTGTCATTTTTTTGGTCTTTTAGAAAATGTTGTTTGTGCTGTATTTAGACCACTTTACCAAGAAATTTGTTTTGCATGCACACGTAAAAAAATTGCGATTTTTATCCAACGCAATCATAGGTTTGAACGTTGTTTTCAGTTTAGACTTGTTTATATTTTTTCGTTGGGGCTTGTTTTATATTTGCCTTCGGGTTTATATGATCCGTTCATCCTATTTCGACTCTTCAAAATTCAAGAGTCTATCCTTAATTGAGGTAAATTATATGGCCTTCCAAATACCGTTTCAATAACTGACATCACTAAAGAGACATTAATTGTCGAAATCCTGATATGGTGTACTAAATTTTGCACCTTTTGATTGCAGAATACCGTCTTTTCCGCAAGTTTATTGTTTCTGTTTGATATTAAATTATTATTTAAGATCCATTTTGTTACATCTGATGATCATCTTATTTGGCAATCGCGAATGGCAGTCAGCAGGGTTTAAGAACATCCGTTGTTCGACCTGCTAGTCAAATGCGTTTTATTAAAATATTCTTTGTCACTTTTTTGGTCTTTTGGAAAATGTTGTTTGTGCTGTATTTTGACCCCTTTACCAAGAAATTTGTTTTTCATGCACACGTATAAAAATTGCGGTTTTTATCCAAAGCAATCACAGGTTTGAAAGTTGTTTTCAATTTAGACTTGTTTGTGTTATAAGTCATATACACATAATAAAATATTCAAATAACTAATGTGCTGCTATTACTGTTAAATTTGTAACAAAATATTCAGAAAATTGAATAATGAATGATCAAGCTATTATTGTTTTGACATCTTTTCGATGTTTTGTAAAATCAGGACAAGAAACGTAGGCCTTAATTGATAAGCACAGGTCCAGGAAAACATAGTTATACTTCTTTTCGTCAAATCATTTAATTGAGGTTTTCAAGATAAGACTCTTTATATGAAAAGGGTTTTTTTTACAGAATCCGTACTTCCCTCGAGTGTAAGAATAGTGTCTTTCAGAATATTGAATAACGAGTATTCGTTTTCATTGATGGGTAAACCATTATGTTTTTGAATAAAAAGAGAAAAAAATACGAAGTGTGCAATGAAAAAAATCATGCTAGACCATGGTCTAAAGAAAAAAGGCAAACAGAATAACAACATTAAACAAAGGAAATAAAACATAAGCAGTGTGAGGAGAACATGATTGCCCTAAGCAACTTCCTAAACGTAATTTAGACAAAGAACCAGTACTATTCCTTAAATTACTCCTACATTTTGTCTAGCATCCAAATCAAGTCACTTAGTCTTCAAATCATGTGCAACCATTTTATACCATAACATAACTAATTGCCCTCTTTTGACAAACTCTGCTTTCCAGAGGCTGTTTTATAAGATCTAGAGAATGAAAAAAAGCTATGTTTTTATTTAAACGGCTTTATTTCAAATGTAGTGATGCAAAAATCGAATGCTTCGATGTTGGGCCATTCGGTGGTGTTCTTTGTCTTTCTGGCACATTATTCCGATCATACCTTTGTTTATTTACCCACTTTGTAACATTAAACTCGATGGACGCCTTATGAGATAGAAAGATATTCCAAAATCGTATTAAGTGAACATCTTTTTAGTAACAAAAAGGGGAAGTTCGGTATTTTTTCCTGGACTACTGTTTATCTTCAGAATCCAATTGAGGTTAATACTCATTGATTGAATATTACTTTATAAAAATATGCAATTTAAAACTTAATAAGAAATGAGTTTCATTGCATAACAACTTCTACTGGCCGTTCATACTTGAAGAGCTAACTAGATACATTAGATTTTAAAATTATCTTGATATGCTACATGAATATTAAAGTGATAACAGTTTTCAGAATCTAATGTCATTGTTTAAACATGTTAAATTTAGATATTCCCATTTATTTTTGCCTCTAACGTGTTTTTATATTGCTATAATAAGCTCTTTTCAAAGAAAAACCATCAAATATTTTGCCTGAACAATAAGATGTCGTCGTGTTATCTGCCACGTCACAACAAAAATATCAAAATCTTATCTTCAGCAACGTGCTATTGGTACGTTTACACAACAATTATCAAAAGTTAAGTAAGCATTTCATACAAAAACACAAAATAAAAAATATTCCTCACCATCAAGCACAAGATAATAACTCAATCCAACACTGATATATCCTAGTGAGGTAGGATGGACTATGTAGCCAATGGTAACCCCTTTACACTCCTTTGATCCTTTGTGGTAGGAAATAGACACGCATTCATCCATAACACCGCACTGTAACGAACATTTAATCAAACTTTGATTTCTCAACACTATTATATTTGCATTTATAAACCAATTTTCCAAATACGACTGCTGTGCGGCAATGTAAGAGACAATATCAGCATATAGCAGGGAAGAAATTAAAACCAACAAAACTGATATAATTCCTTTGACTTTCATTATAGTATACAGTCAGGTATGTTTATTTTTGTTCATTGGCTAACTGGTGATGCTTTTGTAAGTCTACAAAACACGTGATTTACACAATTTTAGATTCCATCGAAAAATATTGAACACAGCACATGTTAATAGTAAAGAGTTTGTCAATAACAGTTCATAGTTGAACGTTAGTTTTCATGTTAAAAGTAATGTCCTTCGCTCCATCATGTCTTTTTGATTTGATATCGCAAATTTTCCAAAATTTACGAATGTCTTAAGAAAAACGCAAAACTTAGTACATAATTTAGGTCTACTTGGTATTTAAGAGTCCGCTTACGTTTTTATCTCTCGCCTCGATATTTAACACTCAATATGTCTAGTGCTCAATACGCAGCTGCACAGATATTTATAACGTAACTCCTAATGAATTATTCATCAAAGCTTCCCCTTATTCTTTCAATAATTCAATACTTTGTTTTCAATAATGGCATCTTAGACTTGTATTTTAAAAAAGAAACTATAATCTTTTTTTAAAGAGTATTCATTAGTTTCTACTTTTAGAATTGCGTTTTGCTGTCCAGGCTTATAAGCAAAAAATTAAAATAATTAAATAACGAACAATTAGTTTTGTTAAGCTGTTCGTATGAGGGTGATGATAAAAGATGAAAAGTTTAAAAATTTAATTTGTAATAAGGTTTGTTGAACTCGTGACAATAGTCATAAAATAAGAAGAATTTGTCTATTAAAACACTGTTTTGCAAAGTGGTTTCTTCGTTTGGGCAGTTTTGTCTGTATGTTGACTTTTTTATTCTATTATATTATCTGTAATAAAATTGAATAAGAAAAAAAAAACAGCATCTGTTGATTTGTGTTAGCCTTCTAACAACATAACGTAAGAACGGGTCACGAATATTACTTTTGAGTGAGAAGGGACAATTATCGGCCCTTATACATAATGTATATTAACGAAAACAAAGATTGGAACAAACACGCGCATTTATAAAAATACAGTCAGCAATAATGTACACAAAACATTACATAGAAAACTAAAGAAGAAACTAGTCATAAACTAGGGGTGTTTCAGTTACTCCGCAAGGTTAAGCAGGTCATGATACTTTTAAGCTGATTCTGATTTAAAATTTACAATTTGAAAGTTTCTAAAAGAAACAGCTTAAACTCTTTAAAAGACAAGTCATTTTTAAGACTTTTTTTTCAGATTATGTTAAGACCAAAATGACCCTTTAAGACTAAAATTCAGTTTCAGTATACCATTTGAAGCTTTTCCTATCCCTTGGACAGATGAGTTTTAATTAATAATTCCATAAAACAACAAAACAACTCATTCACGTCCAGCGCACAATGTAAAAACAATATTGTCGACATCGCGATATTCACTATATCGTGTCAACTTCGTTGACATTGTAAGAACTCCTATATACTGTATTCATCGTTGACATAAATAACATCGCGATGTATACAATGTAGTAACTATATCGTGTTTAAATCGTTTACATCGCGATGTTACAATTTTAACACGATATCGTGTCAAAATAGTTAACATTATAAGAACTCGTATATGCTGTTTACATCGTTGACATCGTTAACATCGCGATGTCTACGGTGTGAACGATGTAACCACAAAGTTCGAGACTTAGTATAAATAAATAACATAAATAGATAAATAATCTTTATTTCAATAGGGACACAATGTTGACTCGCTATTGTCAACATCGCGATGTCTACGATGTGAACGATGTAAACACAAAGGTATAGACTTGGTATACAATATTAACACGATATTAACGCTATTGTCCACATCGCGATGTCTACGATGTAAACACAAAGGTATAGACTTGTTATGTAATATAAACACGATGTTGACTCGCTATTATCAACATAGAAATGTCTACAATGTAAACGATGTAAACACAAAGGTATAGAATTGCTGTACAATATAAACACGATGTTGACTCGCTATTGGCAACATAGCAATGTCTTCAATGTAAACAATGTAAACACAAGGTAAAGATACGATATGCAAACTAAAGTGAGAAAGAAAAATTGTGCTTCATTAAGAAAAAGCTGTTAATATATCATTAGCTTGTGATTTATACTTCATTTCAAAATGACCTTATTTTTCAGTGATGTTACAAATGTTTTACATTTCATTCCGTATTACTTTATTAGTAGTTTACTTTGCATGCCCTTTGTTTGATTTAACGTTAACCTATTGTCATCGTGAATATACGTGAACTATTTACAACTATATCATTGTCTTTTGGGTTAAAAAAACAACAATCACCAATCCCTTTTTATGCTTGCTGTTAATTTTCTTTTATGAAAATGGATAAAATACCATTCATGTAAGATGGCAAGTCTACCTGCCGACTTTAAACATCATCAGCATCAACTCGATCATCATCATTTCGTCAACATTAATGAAAAAAGTGTTTACTCATAATATGTTCTGCTTGTTTAAAAACCTCATAATATTCAACGTTAAAATTGTATTTGTTTGCTTTTTTAAGAGCTGATAAGATTAAATTTGCCGTTTCAGTTCAATATCGGTTTACTAGTGATATGTTTAGGTAATAATTGCAACATCAGGGTGACTCTTGTGACCTTTATCAACCATTGCGTTTTACATTTCACAATATATGTATGCATGCTTCTGATGTATTTTAAATTGTAAGTTAAATACATATATTTTACTGGAGTGAAGTATTCCGACTTATTCTGTAAATCGATTCGTTACCTTGACAAGAGATAAGAGCACAACCACCCTGTGAACAAAAAACGAGGATCACATTCGTAGTATAGGCTATAATCAAGAAAATCCAGTATAATCAATTGCTATTAGGGGATACTACCGTAATAGAATCCAATGTTTTGTTATCAACATAATTTAAAATATCTCTAAAAAGAGATGACACAAAACGCCTTTTACTGGTGACATTAGGTTCAGCATTGCACCTATCAACAACCATTAAAGCCGTATTTGGCACAACTTTTGGGAATTTTGGGTCATCAATGCTCTTCAACTTTGTACTTGTTTGGCTTTCTAACTAGTTTGATCTGAGCGTCACTGATGAGTCTTATGTAGACGAAACGCGCGTCTGGCGTATTAAATTATAAGCCTGGTACCTTTGATAACTATTTACACCACTGGGTCGATGCCACTGCTGGTGGACGTTTCGTCCCCGACGGTATCACCAGCCCAGTAGTCAGCACTTCGGTGTTGACATGAATATCAATTATATGGTCATTCTTATAAATGTACTGTTTGCAAAAGTATGAATTATTCAAAATACTAAGGATTTTCTTATCCCAGGCATAGATAACCTTAGCCGTATTTGGCACAACTTTTTTGAATTTAGGGTCATCAATGCTCTTCAACTTTGTACTTGTTTGGCTTTCTAACTAGTTTGATCTGAGCGTCACACTGAGTCTTATGTAGACGAAACGCGCGTCTGGCGTATTAAATTATAAGCCTGGTACCTTTGATAACTATTATAGTCGTAGCTTATATAAGTAAATCATCTCAGCACATATTCTATGAATAGTTTCATTCTAGGTCCAATTTGAAATATTACATAGTATTACTCCTACCTGCATATTATTATTTAACTCAATAGATTTTAATTTCATAAAATTTTCAGCATGTTCAGTTTACAACTGGCTTTTGTAACACGACGTGTAACATATTACAATGTCAGTGCACTGTAGCGTTGCAAGACGAACATGTGATGATGAAGATATCAATTTGTAGCCTATACAAATAATTAAAATTAAATCATTGAATAGCATACCTTAATGATGATCATCATGATGGTGGTGGATATATGTCTTAACGTCCTGATCTTTTCTAGTGAATTACTAAGTTGCTAATATATATTTAAATAATTTTATTCATAAAGTAATGCATTGTCTTTAAAGATTTTATGACATTTTGACATGAGTAAACATGTTTCTGTAAAACTAGTTCAAACTGGCAAATTTAGGCAAAACAACTGTAGATCTATTAAAATCATAGATCGCTATATCACAATGTGCCTGTTGAATCAACGGGGAAATCTTCACCAAAGAAAAGGATCCAACAAAACATCGTTACCACTTGCACAAGAGAAAAAATAACAATAGAAAAAGAAATATAACCACGTTGATACTTTGTTTAGGATACTGTGATAATATCAACTTATTTAACGGTCATTTTTCACTTTTTATATTTCAAAAATGATGAGAGTTAAACATTCTTATGGTGTATGAACAAGGATAAACTCAATTCCAGACTGATGAAATTTGGATTGTGTACATCTATTATATCGCCTACATAACTCAAGTATTCTCAATAACATATCTATCACATGGTGTTTCTTAAAGTTTTAAAAAAACTGTAATTTTAAACAGTTAAATACGAAATCTAAAATTAAAAGAGCACAGCTGTTCTCCTTAATTATATCTGTCACTTAGAAGTATAGGGTCCCCCCACCGACTAAAATAAAATTAGGCTAAAAACTAATTATTTTCAATCTTTCTGTTAATGCCCTATTAGTTCATGTTTTATTAAAAGGAATTCTAACAACTGAACAGGTATTTATACACAAAAAGATAAACAGAAATAGCATAATTATTCTATATAAACATTCTACTATCCTATACAAGAGTGCATACGCTGAAATATGTAGCCTGCTTTATTGACCATTGATTTTATGTTGATAGTCTTAATTATGAAGTTTAACTTCAAGTATCAAATAAACTTAACATGATTAAAATTTATAAAAAAAATAACATTGTCAATAAATTGTAAAAATTAGTTCAAGGTCATATAAAACCTGCCAGACTGACATGCAATCGTAAAATATTTCCATACACCAAATGTAGTTGACATATTGCATACAGTATTAGAAAAACAGACCTAAACACAAAAATTAACTTTAACCACTGGACCATGAAAATGATGTCAAGGTCAGATAACACCTGCCAGTTGGACATATACACCTTACAATCATTTCATACACCAAATATATTAGAACTATTGATTATAGTATCTGAGATATGGACTTGACCACGAAAACCTAATCTTGTTCACTGACCGATGAAATGAGGCCGAGATATAGTAAAAACTATCTGACAATCATGAGGACCTTATAAGGTACGCACGTACCAAATGTAGTTATCCTATTACTCATAATTAGAGGAATTACAAAAAATCGTAATTTTTTTTTTTCAAGTTGTCACTGAACCATGAAAATGAGGTCAAGGACAATGGACATATGACAGACGGAAACTTCATAACATAAGGCATCTATATACAAAATATGAAACATGCAGGCTCGACAAAACTATTATAACGTCGGTGGAACAGATGCAAGAGTTTATTCAAATTAAAGAAAAAAGCATTGCTCTCTGGTTATTGTTTGCAACTAGTAACTGATTGGTACTTCTATTATAGTACAAAGACAAGGGATTGGAAAGACCATCACTAGCTGTAAGTATTTCTTTGTGATATTGTCCATCAGCAGATATGACTACTACATTGGTAGATAACCTCCCTACCACGTATACTTTACCCTCATTGTCTACAGAGATTCCAAACGGTCTCTTAAGAGCACTTTCCTTCTCAAATGTCCATTGCACTGTGCCTTGTAAATCATAACATGTCACGGAGTTGGTTTTGTTATTTGTATGGTAAATTTTATCATCAAATGTGGCAATGTAACACATTTTGGGAAATTCCTCTTGGACTATAACGCTTGTTGAGTTGTCGTTTGGATTAAACCACTGTATTCCTTCTTTATCTGCAGAGCAGATGAATTTGTTATCCATTACTGCTAAGCCGTGATAATATGATTCAGCATATATTTCTTTCTTAATTTGTTTGTTCTGTAGGTCAATTATTGAAATGCACATTCCATTCGTACCTGATGTTACAGCAAGAGTGTTATCTTCACTGATGTAAGCTATATCAAATGCCCTATATTGTGTTTTAATTTCAAAATCTTTTGATCCGTCAGTGTTAAATACTCTGACAAGATTGTTTAAGGTTTCCGTAAATGCGAATCTACCGTCGGGTAACATGCAACAACCCCATTTGCAGAATCCCGTATTATCTAAAGTGGTATCTAGCTTCAGATTGATATTTTCAACTGACCTTGATGAGCTATGCTGAAGCACCATTTGTGCTTGTTTGTCTTTCCTCCTTGTGAAGACAATATCACATGGTTTTGTCTCAATTATCAATTCCCCTAAACTTTGGGTCTCGGAGATGAACTTTTGTACGCCGGTATTAAATTGATACGACATATTTGTTTCTTTAAAGTCTCCAGTTTTGGTCATGGATTGCATAAATTGTACTTTGCTTGAAACTTCTTTTTCTAGCTCCTTCATAGCAATAAATGTCTGGAGATCTGTGTCAAGTTTCTGAATTTTCGTAATGTTTCTCTGGCATTCAGCTATTTCATTTGTTTTTTCCTGCAATAGAGTCAGCATCTGACAAATGTTCTTTCTTTCTTTTTCTTCAGCTGCATTTATTTCATTTATTGCGTCATCTTGTATTTCGTCTACATGCTTGTTGATTGTTAATCGGGTTTGCTTGATTTCATGCAAAATATTCTCTTTTCTCTCAGATAACGACGAAAGGTTGTTCTCTCTGTTATGCTTGATTTTTTTAATAGTGTCACCGAGTTCTTCTAACGAATTTTCAATTTCACAGAAGGCATTTGATGTTTTTATATTTTTGACTATATCAGCCAATTTTGCGAAATCTCCGCATTCGTTGTGACTTTCTACAATACATCTACCGCAGCAGAGACTTTCATGCTTTTTACAGTAAATTGTATAATTTACGTTATGTTTGTTACAGTTTTGGGCCATTTGGAGATTATCACTTGGTAATTTCTCGTATTCAGTTAATGGTACAATACTATGGTTTAGTGTTCCATTCGACAGACTGTGGTATTCTTGACATTTTAAACAAAATACTTCGTCACATTCGATACACATGGTCACTGATGGTTCTGTGATGTTACGGAGATTACACACACCACACACTGGCGTCGTTGATGCCATTTAAAAACGATAACTAGAAAAAGGAAGAACAAGCATCGTTCAGTAATAATAACTACAATTTTGCTTTTAACGTAAATCAAAGGTTCGTTTAAGATTTCGTTGTCGTCCTGATTAATACAATAAGTATGTTGGCTGGAATGAAGGGATAACGAAAAAGAAAAATGTACATAAACATACATTTTTGAACATTCTTTAAATGAATTGTGTCCTGAAAAATACATAGCAACATAGCTTTCTGTCTGCCTTTTTCAATTGAAGCAATTATATGGATGAGTCATTTTAATATTTGTTTTATGATTTTTTATTTGATTATGGAAAGTTTATAATTTTTTTTATTCATATACAAACAGACACAATTCTATATTATGGGGATCATAACTTTGCAACAACAGAAAAGATGACCATCTAATACCATTGAATAAACATTTTGAAATATGGTCAAAATTATCAAATTGAATGTATTTTATGAGTTGTTAAACGCTTTAAGTAAGGTCTTATAATAATTTTGTTTACATCGTATGCATAGTCATGCTTCACTTTAAAAGTACAAAAAAAGTTACGAAAAGTTGTTTTATTACTTCACGTTGCCAAATACAGCCCTGGTCTCTATTGAATTGATAAATGCTAATAATTTTAATCGTTTTAAAATAAGAAATAATTGATTGGCACAGTTTGTGCAGTGACAATATCGATATGACGACAAACATGGAAATACAAATAATTATCCGGGGAAAACATGTAAAATAACGAATCTGAACATTAGAATGTCACTGAAAATTGTGTTTACAACGGGCTCTGTACAAAGAAAACTTGATTCCAACATATTTTGTGAGTGCAGTCTAATAATGTTACATGCAAGTTTGTTTCACAATGATAATGAATGATATCTAGGAATCCTTTCTGATTAAGGAGTGTACCTTCCTAATGAATAGCTCGTATTCCTTTGCCTGGAATTATACATTTGTTTAGTTTGTTTGGTTATATCAACTCTTCAACGTTTGTGTTAGTCTCGAGCATGACTGAACATATACAATCCACCCCTCCCCAGCGTTTTTTAAAAGGTTTTAAATAGTAAATACCAAACGATATGTGTGTGGTTTTTTTTAATGCACGTTTTGTTTTCTATCGACATCCACAGGTTTTTTTTAAAGACTATAACAAGAAATATTCGCTTGAGTCACTATGTTTTTCTCCTTTATGAAAAATTCCTGACAAGGTTCAGAGTAAGTTCATTAGAGAGATCGATATATTTTCTATTACGTACATTACAAAATAAGACCCTTTAAAAGTAGGAAAAAGTCGCCAGAATTCAATTGTATGCCCACTAAACAAGATGACATTCAAATAGTTTAAATTCTTATACACATTTCTGTCAATTCATTAGAGAGATTGATATCTTTTCTATTATGTACATTACAAAATAACACCTTTTAATAAGTCGTCAGAATTAATTTTTTTCCCACTAAACAGCATGGGTAATGTCACATTTATCAATAACTAGTTAAATTTGAGTCACGATTGTCGCCCTTGCATTTCAGCTTTGAATTTTCTGTTTAAACAGAAAAAAACTTATAATTATAATAATTAAAATATAAGTATCTTACGCGGTAATAAAAATGAATATTATTACATAACATACCTACTGGTTTACACTGTTAAATTTGCAATATAAGAAGTATGCATTTTCATTTCTTCCAACCGTCTAACAGGAAGGTAAACAACAGGTAAATATTGATTTGTTATGACGATTATTGTGTGTTTAAAATTATCTAGTAGTAATGGCGGTATTTTTCAAAACGGCTTTAAAAATATGGTTTATTATTATCTAAAGTTTGATTTCAACTGCGATGCAAAATATGACATTTTTACGAGTACGTCACACAGTGTCGAACGATAATCTGATTACTGAATTAATCTGTGTGTGTGTGTTTAATATCTGAGACATATAGTGTAATGGCAATTTTGTTTTTGATACTGACTTTATCATTAAGATTATCGCGGGAGCTCGCATGAGCGAGCTGATATTGGAGTTAATGAAGTCTTTATCAAACAATGAAATAACATTATTCTTTTTATCGGCAATTTTGTCTTAACTCTATTTTTCTTCTTCGAGAATATGAAATAAAATCAAACAGTAAATACAACTATTTTCTCGCGTAGAAAATGTTGTGATTGTTGTTCGGGTGTATGCATGAAGTCCCGTGCATTTTATTGATAAATTGAAGCAAATGAAAATGAACGCGTGATATTGTCGTTCTGTAACATGACGTCATTGTTATATTTTCGTGTTTCATGTTCAGTCCATGATAAAGAAAAATATGAGACAGTAAGTTCAAAAGGGAAAATATACAAATTGACGATAATTAGTTTTTCTTATTATATTTTTCTGATCATTGTACTATTTAGGTAAGTAGCCTTGCATCGGTCAAAGCATGATGAATTTGTTATTGTTAATTTTTAGAATTCATGTTGAGTAGTGGGTGTATCTTGTTTACACAGGAATCTGTAAGGCTGTACAATTGTAGACGGAGTAAACGATTGTCTGAATATTTATTTTGAATCGACGAAGTATCAGAAGAAGACTTCCATAGTGTAAATGCCAGTTATATGGACGCTAGTCTTTGGTTTTCAGATAGTTTAAAGATGATCATTACATGTGTTCATTTTCTCCGTTGGAATGGTCTATTGGAACGGTAATTTATTGTTTGCCAATAAAGGCATCAGTAGTATACCGGTGTTCAAAAGTCATAAATCGATTGAGAAAAAACAAATCCGGGTTACAAACTAAAACCGAGGGAAACACATCAACTATAAGAGGAAAACAAAGGAACAACAGGAACACTGAAGTGCAACAAAAACAAACGCCAACATACATAGAAACGAACTATTTGATAACAATTGCCATATTCCTGACTTGGTACAGGACATTTTAAGAAAAAAATGGTGGGTTGAACCTGGTTTGATGGCTAGCCAAACCTCCCGCTTATATGACAATGTTATAAAATATCGCTAAAATGACAACACTACGTGACAGAAATACAGCACAAACACACGCAAGAACACTCATCACAGAGAACCACACAAACAAATAATATAATAGTTAACACAACATGCAAACCACAGAACAACAACGAACATCTTCCATCAACGACAGACACCACAAGACATCACAAACAGTGACGCACTTACGTAACGAACATGCAATCTCGAACTTTATACAATTACCCCAACAATACAGGTCCAAACAATCTCTACGACAATGACGGTACTGAAATGCAATTTTATAATTATTTGGACTACAAACGATAAGACAACACACCATCCAACAGAAATCACAACAGAAACATTAAAATTAATACATGAACGTTGGATGTATAAAATACCAAGACACGCCGCACAGCAACGCAAACTAGTCTATCGATGATATAATTTCCTTAGAAGATGCCCAATTTTCATAGCGTAGAAACACTTGGGTTGCATTGGTACGGGATGTAATTAGTACTATTTGTGGTAGTGGATTTTAATGGTCAAAACATAATACTGAATTTTTTTTTTATCAAACTTGTCGGTTCAAATCCATTCGTAACTCCACTCACCAGTACCAGAATCACAACATACTATACTCATAAGTCACCGATTTAAAATTTATTTTTGTGAAATTTTACTCGTTTGATTCGTTTTCAATACTCTATGAGTAATAATACCCTTAAATAATGAAAATAGCATAGTAATTGCACCTCCAGTTTTTGCTTAGAACATAGTAGATATGTTTTGACAGTATAACAATCATAAACGCTACGGAGCGGAACTTAAATAATAACCAGAAAATGAACCAAACATCTTTTACAGCAAAAAACTCTAGCTAAAAAACAAACAGTACCTGTCATAAGTTTTCATAAAAGAATAATCGGATATTGTATTTCCAATTTTTTACTTTCATTTCCCACACGTAACATAACCTCTGTCCAATCGAAGGGTGTTTTCACATCTCAGGTGATACACTATTCTCTAGAATGTTCACATAAAACTGGCTCCATTATAGACAAGGATGTACTCCTTACTTAAGAACTGCCCAAAAAAGTTCACACATTGTTTGACCGATACGTTGTATAAACTCATTTTTGTAATATCTTTTCCGCCTCTTTTTAATTTTCTATTTTTGTCTTAAATCTTTATATACCATGATAGTCGTCTGATCTGTAAAATTACCAATTGTGTTCTTTTACCGATTATGACTTTTTCACTGAGTGTGCAGGAGACGCTTACCCTGTCAAAGCTTACGGTCTCACTCTTTGTGGAGTTTACGCGACTTCAGATTTTATTTTGATATGATCGGATTTAGGCATCAGTAAACAACTGTTGCCCCTAATTCATCAACATTTGATCATTTTAATTTCAAACTGTATTTTGCTACGCCTCATTTAAACTATTAGCACAAAAGGCCTTTCAATATAGGCAACACATTTGGTATGTTTAAATCTTTTAACAGAAAATGTGTATTCCAATGGGAACTAGCTCCTAGTTGATACGTTATTTTTTGGGCACTGTAGCTTTTAAACAGTTCAAAATGGTCAAAGTGATGTCATCCTTTCGAAATTTTGACGGACATTATCCGAAGAATCTGATTATTACGTACTATGTACATGTCATAGATGCATTACGGATGCTAACATATATATTCCATTCATCGAATCCAAGAATCATGTCGTACTTTCCTCGGTTGTTAACGTTAACATGACTGGTATCACCAGTAAAACTCAACTGTTTATTCCTATGGAGCACAAGCCTTTGTGGTGGAGTTTGTGTCACTTAATCGTAAGTTTTTATATTCGGTGTTTTTTGGACTGTTTTTAAATTCGTCGAGTTTCTTATTTGCCGTTATTTGTTTGTTTTTCTTCGACTTGGGATTTTCGAAAGCCTTTTTGTATCTTTCCCTCACTTTTGGCTCCCAGACAAAACCAGGCTTGTTACCAAATCATTCAGATAATTAGTCTATAACGAAACATACCATATTGCTATTACATGTAGGGTTATTCTATTATTAATAACGCAAATAAAATGCTAGTAAAACGGTTTCCACAGTTTGTCTTTAGTATTTTGATATTCAGTTTTCAATTGTAATATATTAGGGTAACCTACATTACATCTCATATATACTTGTGAACTTGAGATTAAGGATACAACCGACAGTAGAAGATCTGCTGTATGTCTTTATTTTTTCCTCGATATTGACACAGATAGACGACTTTAAATTTTAATATATTACAAACATGACGATTTCAACTTTTGAATTGTCTATTTCCCATTTCTCTGCAGTAACATACCCTCTTCTCTAGCCTACAGAATTTACATATCTCAGTAAATACGTTACATTCGTGCAAGTTCACATTATAAGAAATTATACCAGAGGTGTGCTCCTTACACCAAAACTGTTCTAAAAGAGTTCGTTAAAATCGACATTACACATGTTACATAAGTTATGTAAGTCCCCATCATGGATTGGTTTACTGGTACGATAGTCGGATTCTAAAAGTAGCCAGGTCTGATATCTTAATATACCAGCATCGTAGTCTAATCTGTAATTTGACCGATTGTGTCCTCCTTCAGAGTATCACATGTACATTAAGACTGATTTAAATGTTATCATGACTGTTTATAGCTTACTATACTTATGAGTTTGATCATTGGTGCAAAACGTACGATCAACTTTATATGTTTACATTCTCACTCTCAGATTGAAAGTTGTCTCGTACCACATTGGTTTTATTTCATTTTTAATTATATGCATGTTGCTACAAACATGATCAAATCTCAATTTCATGTTTGAAAATTTTGCATCTCCTGCACGAAACGCCATAGTAGACTGGTACCATGCTGAACCCTGATGTATCGGTATGCAACGGACAATCACTGTCTGAATGTGTACTGTAGAAGTTCAAATCTTATATATACATGTGTACCTCTATGGAAAAGTAATCAAACATTTTGTTTTTAAATCGAGAAAGAAGGAAATTGTTTTACGAAATAATCGCAATATTAGTGTAGCTCAGTCTGTAGTTGTCTATGTTGTGTTTTGTAAACTGATCTTTGTCTTTTAGTCGGTTTTCTTTTTTTGCCATGGTATATTCAGTTTGTTTGACGACTTATTGGTATAATTGGCATTTGGTATCATGCATCTCTCCTTACGGCCAACATACAATAAAAACTAATAACTCAACTGATTTAATATTGACTACATAATATCTACCGTATCGCTATACAAATTATTAAATTATTTCTTCTTTATTCATATTTACGTTACAGAGTTTATATTTTTACAAATTCAAATGTGACAATGTGACGTCACTTTGTTTGTTTTTTTAGAATTTCAAATGCGACGTCACTCTGTGCGTTGATGCATTGACTAACTCGGCTGTGTATTTTTATATGTTGGATTAAGTTGTTTTATGTAATGTATCCATTCTTATTCTGTAGTTAGTCCCCACTTCGGTTTTATCATGTTTATCTATTATAAAGTCATTTTATAAAATTTACTGTTTGAAAAATTATAAATTATTCTAAATAATAAGGATGTTCTTGTCCCAGGCAGAAAACCCTGGCCGTGTTATACTACTGTTGCCTTTATATAGCTTTTTAAGTTATTTTAACTTTTTGGAAGTTTTGGTCCTCGGTGCTCTTCGGCTTTGTACTTGTTTTGGCTTTTAAGCTTTTTTTATCT